TTGATATATAAAAGCAGTGCAGTTTGGCTTTATTTCTTCTGATATATTCTCTTTCTTGCTCTCTTCAAAAATCCCACAACAGTGTTTAGAGTTGGAGGCTTTTGCTCTGTTGGGTTTTTTTCCAATAACAAGGGCCGAAAGGTATTCCCTTTTCATATTCTTCTCTCCCAATTTCTTTAGGGTTAATTCAATTTTCTTATGCTATTTGCAGTGGTGCTTTTTAGGGTTTAACTATTTGATTTCACAGATTCATTACAGACACAGTAAATAGTACATTTTAAATTCGTATTTCATAACTTGGTTGCTTGATAACAGAGTAAATAGTTACATTTTAAATTCGTATTTCATAACACAGTAAATAGTTACATTTTAAGTCGTCGGCTCTGTATCCTTTTTGTGCAGTTTTGTTTTAATCTCATAATCTATGTTTCTTTATCTCAATCACCAATGGTATCTGGTTTGCAAGAAATTGAGGATAGGATAAGAGAACTGGAAGTGAGCCTGGTGCGAGAGGGTCTTATCTCAAAGACTCAGAGAAGGCTGAGATGTATAAGAAGCACAAGGAAATCCCTGAGGTTTATACTGTTGAGAGGTTGGCTAAGGATTATAGGATTATGAGGCAGAGAGTGCATGCTATTCTTTGGCTTAAAGAGCTTGAGGAGGAAGAGGAGAAAAAGCTTGGTCGTCCTTTAGATGATTCTGTTGAGCTCCTGCTTGACACCTGCCCAGAGTAAGATATCAATTCACAAGCATTACTTCTATTATATACAATGGGTCCTGTAGTTCTAATAATTTTGTAATGATATCAATATTCTGTGCATACTTCATACTGATGGTAAAGGTTTCCTGCTGCGTTAATTGTAGTCGCAAATTTATAAGCTTAGTGGTGCTTGGCTGATCTAATAGCCAGATTTTATTTCTCATAGTGCATAACTCCTTTCCTCTTTTCAGATTTTTTAATTCTCATGACCGCGAATTCCACATGGTATCCCTTACCTACAAACCTGATTTCAAGGTTATGTCAGAGGGTTGGGACAGTACCACCGGAGATTTGGATGAAGTTCATTGTGAAATCTCAAAGAAAGAAAATGAAATGCTCTATCAAGAGTTTGTCCAGAGAATGAACTTCAACAAAATGAAAGAAAGTTCCATAATCCTAACTTTTCCATGAGAAAAGAAAGCAATCCAACATTGATAATTAAGAAAAAAGCATAGTTCTATACTGCTATTATTAGTGTTACTGTTACGTCTCTCATTATTATTAGCTTTTCTTTCTCTTTGTTCATATTTTTGTCTTCGAGGATGAATCATTGGAAGCATATATGTTTTTGCATCATGCTTTTCTTTTTCCCACTAAAGTGGCATCAATAGTTATTGTATTTCTCCTCTGCATACCTCTTTATACGAACAACTGATGGACTTTGCGGTGTACAAGCAAACTGGTTATGAGAGTATTAAGTGGGTTTCTGTAAGACAAGGTGATAGATTAGCAAGTCTTAACTCAGTTTCTTCCTACTAATTGTGCAATGTCTTTACATGTTAGCTTAGTTGAATGTATATAAAAGTCAAGTTGTTTATCTTATCGACCTCATTCACTTATGTGCCCCTTTGTTCATTCATGATTGTGTTGAATTTATTCAAGTTTAATGTGTTTTATTCATGTAGTTACGCCTGAAACAGTGGTTCCCGCCGCAACGCGCGGGCTTATTATCTAGTTACCACTAATTTCAGAACTAAAATACTGTCACGCCCCGAACTCGAAATTGGAAAAATAGCCCCGTTGCGTGACAAATCCCCGCTAATTTCAAATGATAAATTAAGCAAAATTTAAACAATCTTGTAATAAAAACACGAACCTTTCCTTTTCCGAAAGGGAAATTTACTAATTTCCAAAGAGCTTACCAACTTTTTCCTTTGCTCTATGATCTATCTGTGAATTTACAAGACGATGTTACAAATTACAATACAGAAAAACCCTGCATCTCGACGGCCGATATCCACGCTTGATTCACCCTTCCAATCTCAGTCACGTCAAAACGGGGGAACAAGCATAACATGCCTTCAAATTAAACCAAATCATGCACAGGACAATCAACCGAGTGAAGGGGAGATGATTTACACTTCAACTCCAACTTCAGATTACCAGAAACCCCTGCAAGAACAATTCCCGTCCTTCATATGGTGAAAGCGGTTCGAGTCTCTTAAAACAATCTCCCTCCTAGATGTCCTGGAGATGAACTTGGCCATCTCATGACAGTCACCGCATACTCGTAGATTCTTCGTCACCCGTATGGTTTTCCCTGGTTGCAAGTTCAGTATCCCAAATGCTATGGCTAACTTCTCACTGTGCCCACAGAGGGCCACTTCTTTCTCCGCCTCATCTGCATTAATCAAAGCATACTGCATTTTCGGAGACTGGCCTTCTTCCTTCATCTTCAATCGTAATCTCTTCAATAGGGACTCTATCTTCGCAGCTTGTGGGTGTGAACTGTCTCCAGCGACAAAGATTTTAACTTTGCCTTTGATCTCTATCCAACTACAGCCTGGATTCTTTTTCAAGCCTCGCCGAGTGATCCTCTCCCTCAACATTTTCACTTCTTCCCACTTTTCTGCCTCTGCATATATGTTCGCCAGAAGCACATAATACCCTGTGTTTTCGGGCTCTAGTTCAAAAACATGTTCAGCGACTTTCTCCGCTAGTTTCACATCATGGTGGATCCTACAACCACAGAGCAAGGAACCCCAGATTGTTGCATCTGGCTCAATCGGCATTGTCTTGATAAATTTATACGCCTTGGTTAGATTCCCCGTGCGGGAAAGGAGATCCACCATACAAGCATAGTGCTCTAACTTGGGAACAATGCCGTAATCATTTCTCATAGTATCGAAGAATCTCCATGCTTCATCGCATAATCCCGAATGACTGCAAGCATAGAGTATCGAAATGAAGGAAACGTCGGGTTCTATTCCTGCTTTTCTCATCTCATTAAAGGCAGCAATAGCTTCCCTTCCAAATCCATGCATGCCATATCCAGCAATGATCACAGTCCAAGAGATCAGATCTTTTACGGGAATCATGTCAAAAAGTAATCGTGCAAGAACTAGCACCCCACACTTGACATACATGTCGACAAGTGCATTGGCAACATGCCGTTCAGAAAAGTATCCATTTCTCAATATATGACCATGGATCTCTTGACCTCTATTTAGAGCTGCTAGGCTGGCACAAGCCGGAAGGACACTGGCAATTGTCATGCTGTCAGGTTTTGATTTCTGCATCATCTCGGAAAAGAGTTTAAGAGCTTCATTTGGAAGACAATTTTTTGAGTAACCTCCTATCATGGTATTCCACGAGACAATGTCCTTCGCAGGCATACGAGAAAAAACTGAGTGAGCATCTTCCATGCTTCCGCATTTTGCATACATATCCATGAGAGTATTACAGACATATAAACTCGAGTCCATGCCATGTTCCTTAATGTAGTTGTGTATATCCCTGCCTTTCTTCAATGAGCCACTACTAGCACATGCATGAAGTATGCTCGTGATTGTATAAGCATCTGGATTAACACCGTCCCTTTCCATTTCAGAGAACAATCCGATTGCCTCATCTGAAAGCCCTTCTCGAATGTGCCCTGCTATCATTGAAGTCCATGACACAACACTTCTCTCACCCATCTTCTTAAAAACCTGGATTGCACTACTCAGATCCCCGCATTTCGAATACATATCCAGAACATTATTACAGAACATGACATCCTCGTCAAAGGAAGCTTTTATTGCATACGCATGAAGCGCCCTGCCCAGCGAAAGATTCCCACCGGCTACACAAGCCATTAGAACATTGATAATGGTAGCCAAATCCACATCTATCCCTAAAGAAACCATCTGTCTGAAAATCTCAACCCCCTTCTCTGCAAGACCGTTAGACACATACGCACTTATCATCGAATTCCATGATATAACATCCCGATCGCACAATTCATCGAACACCTTACGTGCACTCTCAATTCTTCGATTCTTAAAATAGAAAGCCATCAGCGAATTTCCAACCGTGTTATCAGAACCGAAACCCAATTTATACAGATATCCATGAATCCATTCACCTTCCCGCACACATCCAAGTGCCGAAAAACACTTCAAAACACATGAAAACGTATACGAGTTTGCTTGGATGCCAAGCTCCTGCATCTTCCCAAACAAGTACACACCTTCCCTGAAATTACGAACCTTCGCATACTCATTAATCATAAGATTCCAAACAAACACCTTCCCATTCGATAACTTATCGAAAACCCGCCTCGCTTCTCTTAAATCCCCACATTTTACATACATAAACACAAGTTTTGCACCCAGTTGCCCATCAGCTTCCACACCATTGTCACAGATAACTGAGTGAACCCCTTTTCCGTCTTGCAGCGACATCATTCCAGCACATAGCTCCACGACGGAGCAGTAAGCCTCCAAGTCAAGCTCGGATTTTTGAGCCCCGGACACCATTTCCATGGCGGATTTCAGATTACCCATTTCGCAGTACTTGTTAATCTTGGCGTTCTTGTCCGCAACTCCGGTGATGGCGGGTGCGGCGAGAGAGTCGGAGACGCGAAATCGGGCACGAGAAAGGCCCGAATTTGGAGATAACATAAGGGTTTTTGAAGAGGGTTTGAGGAAGATGTAACCATTTGAGGGTCTGAAAGATTTTGATTTGTTTTCGTGGCGAGGAAGAGGAGACATCGACAACAAGTTTGGCGGTGCGGTTGTGGCCACCATCAACATAGCTCTCTGTTTCTCCGTGAAGTGTGGACACCGACCAAAGCCGCGCGAAAATTTCAACTATTCGGAACCCGGAAGATAAATTTTAAATAAATAAAATAAATAGTGGCGCGTGGTTTACAAACGCCTCAAGAAGTTGTGGACAATTTAAATAAATAAAATAAAATAAATGGTGGCTCGGTCTGAGTATTTTATTGTCTGGGATTGTCAGTCTTGTCGGAGAGGATTCGAACTTTAATACGATAATTTAAACTACTATCATTTATAAAGAGAGATTCAAACTTGAGTGCAAAGGGGCAGACACACCAACTCCGTTGACTAACTTGAAACAAATAGAAGTTTGGATATTTGATATCAGGAAAATGAACTTGTTGTTTGGTGGCAATAGACTGAGGATCATTTTTTGATGCAGCTTGTTAACTTTGGCTTGAGACTTTGGCTTGAGATTACAGATATGCCTTCACCACCTTTTGAGCCGCGAAAGGAGCTTCACTTGGCTGTCACCTGCAGCATTGCGTCTCAAGGGAATGGAAGGCACCAACCTCCTCGGAGACGATCAGAAAGGAGGAGCAACAAGGATGGAAGTAAGAAACGGGGATCCAGAAAATCGAATGCATCGAGCCAGGAAGAGATCATTACTCTGTTCCGACCAATACAAACTTCGATCTCAAAAGAAGAGGCTGTGGAGGATGAGAAGATTAGCTCCGATGACTTTGAAGATAGGCCGCATTCTGATTCGATTCTTCGGGCTCTTCACGGTTTAAGGAATCCAAAAGTTAATGTAGATGAGCTGAACATCTTGTTTGATTCCTTCGTGCGCAACTTTTGCAACTAGACATGCTCATTTTTCGTGGTTAGGTCGGTTGATGGCAGTGTGCCAACCTCCTTGCATCCATGTTCGGAGTTCCGTCCCCATAGATTAGAGCAGTATAGAATATCAATGAAGATAATTACGATGATTAGATTTCTCATCTTTCACATACTATTTCTTGATCAAATTATAATTACTGCAGGCAAAATTTTGTGAAACGATCCCCAATTCCACCACAATCAATCCCAAGGTCGAAGTTTCTTCAGCTGGATAAGGGAGCAACACCTTCAGCGACCAGAAGGTCTGGAACCGAGGAATTAGATTTGGTAAGAGAGGAAGAAATGAAACTCCCCGAGCTGAAAGAACTCGCGAAGTCGAGAGGAATTAAAGGTTACTCAAAATTTCGCATTTACTTCTTCAGGTTCATGCAGTCGTAGATGGCCAAATGAACAAGCATTGCAGTGTTAAATCCGGCAATAGCAAACCATCAGGGTTTGTTTTCTAACCCGAAAACAGCAATCACAAGTTCAGCCAACGCGGTTGTAAAGTAAGCAATGAAACAAGAAATAAAACATGCTCCCATATAAGCAAAAAGAGTTGAAACAAGCGAGCGTCAGATAGCTCTTAAGATCAAAAATACTCGCACATCGTCTAAAAGAAAATACTAGCTCTCACTTGGAAATCGGTAAACGGTAGCAACAAATTGCAAAACCTAAAACAAAATATGAGAGATTGTGGTTGATCTGTCTAGCCGGTAATATTTTGGGACTTGTTGAGGATGACTCCTTCATATTTGACCTGGAACCACTTCATCGAGTCCTCCTTGGTAACCCTGTGCTGAATACCAACGCGCGACTTGCATCTGCGGCGACGTCCCACACGGTACCCTGGGCGCTCTAGGACAACATAGAAGTCCATACCATAGATACCAGTAGAAGGGTCATACCTGACGAAAGAAGAACAAACCGGTAAGGGATGGGGTATGTAAAAAAATATCAGAAGATAAACAGATGGTAAAAATGAATCCTAAATATATTGCTTGTATCGCAAAGTAAGCATATTCGATTTCTAGAAATTTAACACCTTAGAAAGATATACACATGATTCGTACCAGTGCACAAGACTCCCGCTTTACGCAGGGTCTGGGAGAGGTGAATGTCGGCTAACCTTACCCCCATTTATGGAGAGGTTGCTCCCAAAAAGATATACACATGATTGAGAGAAGATAAATACGACAAAAGGATGTTCTAAGGGAATCCGAGATAATCACAGGGAGGGCAAGGTACGCATATCGTTCTCACGCAAAACTGAAATTTTCAGAATCTGAACATAATCCAAATTACACCTAACAGTAGCTTATTAGTGACGTAACAATGCAATCGAAGTTCACCAGGGATATCTAACTCTATTTTTATGCTAATCTGCAAACATTTTTCCGGCCAATGCTATTCGGAAATGTAAACTGAATAGTGGTGGCCTAATTCTAATCCGATAGTAGATAAAAGTAAGTTAATGATCATATCCAACTCCGATATAAACGTTACACAACCTTCGCAATCTCATATAAGATATAATCTAAACCGCAAACACAAAACCAATCAACATACATTGCATTTTCGCAAAATCATTAAGCACAAATATTCAACAAAGAGAAATTCCATGAGGGTAAATGCCAAAATAAAACATAGAGAAGCACTAACTTGATTCCGAGATCAATGTGTTCCTGAATACCGAAACCAAAGCATCCGGTGTCGCTGAAGTTCCTGCGCAACAGCTCGTATTCCTTGACCTTCAGTCCACTCTCCAAAAGCTGCATTGCCTTTTCGCCACGGACAGTCACGTAGCAGGCAATCTTCTCGTTACGCCTGATCCCGAAAGACCTCACAGTGTATCGAGCTGCACAGAATCACAACTCACAAATAAATACATGAATAAATAATACAAAATATATATATATATATCAGAGATAACCTAATTCAATCACCTTTGGAGAAGACAGGGGTCTGGCCGCTGAGCTGCTCCAAGACCTAGAGAAAAGGGCAAAATCGGAAATGAAATATCAGTATCTACGATTTTGGATGACTTTCTGGGTTTTGGGGGGAGGGGGGTTGAGAAGCAAGTAAAATGGGGGAACCTTGGCGGCTCTGGTGAGACGATCGCCGCTTTCTCCGACGGAGATGTTGAGGACGAGCTTCTGAACCTTGATTTCCCTCATGGGATTCGCCATCTTGCTCTCCGACGCCTGAAATTCAAAACACCAAAGCAACAAATTCATCAGAAATCCAAACAATCATGAGAGAGAAGGAGAGAGTTGGAGAGAGAGAGAGACCATTGTGGGATGAGTGTTGTTGCAGAGAAGGCGGAGAAGCAGCGGAAGTTGAGAAGATGGAGTACAAATAGGAGGGGGAAGCGAGGGAGCTAGGGTTTATATTTCTCATTTGGGCCGGGTCGGAACCCTCATTGGACTTCAATCCGAGAATTTTTCGGGCCGGAAGTGAATATCTAACCCAACACTTTTGCTGGGCTCGTGGGTTTCTGGCCCAGCAACATTTATATAACAATATTTAAACATAAAACTTCTCACTTACAAACGAATAACAACACACTTGACCAACGTTTATATTTATTGAAGAGGAATTTGGAGAAATAGTTACTAAATTTTAACAAAATTAGAGCTTTGGTCCATAAACTAAAAGTGTGTGATCATTGGTCCATGAACTTTTTAAAATGTGGAGCAATGATCAATTTCGTCAATTCCGTTATTCCATCCAAATTAAAGGGCAAATAAGGAAAGAATGACAGAGGGGAGGAGTGGTGGGATTTTGTAGAGAGTGTAAAGTAAAGATGTTTAAGTGAAAATCTTGAGGGTTTAGTGGAAATCTTTGGATTCAAGCTCATTATGATCCACTGCAGTCCGGACAAAATATTTAACAGAGTTAACGAAAATGATCCATCTATTTCTTTGATCTCAATGCTCACATACACTAGTCTGGCTGTTTCTTACCACGTCACATCCTTGGAGGCTTCCTTCCCCTCTCTCCCCCTCACTTGTTCGTGTTTGCAGGTTTATTTACTTAAGGCTGTCGTACGGACTGGAGTTCGTGATTTTTGTGCTAGTGATCTCTTGGCGTGGAGGCAAAGATACCGGAAAACAGAAAGAAAATGGTCGCCTTCTCTTCCGGTATGCTTGGATATATAACAAAAGTCATGCTGCATCATGCATCATAAGTCTCTGTAACCTAACATTTGAACTGATGAAAGTGCAGAATTCATGGAAATGTCTATTCAATTTCTCACTTAAAAATGGAGCCTACAACAAAGAAAGAATTACAACCTTTTCCCTTTCTAATTTCATGTCCTAGCTTCTCGTTTTTTTTTTTTTTTTTTTGAGCTACAAAGGCAAAGATCTATGCCAGAACCACAAAAAGAACCTGAGAATATCACCGGTCACACTGAAAGAAAGCAGCAAAACAACTGCACTCTGCTCCTTAGTCTGAAACCTCTAGTCTTCCGGGCATACGCAGAATTTGACAGAGTGCTTTGCAAGTGAATGGAAGACCGGAAAAATCCAATTTAAAGCAACATGTCGCAATACTCCACGCGATGCACGCTGCACATGCAGCCTTGAAACATAATGCAACAGAAGAACCTTGAGATTTTATTCACATCCGTTTGCTGGAGCCTAGAACAGATTCACACGAAAAAACCATGGAAGTACAAAAGCTATCACCAAACATGCCATTATGAAGTTGCAAAATGGTTGTCCCCGCCAACAGGATGCATTCGTCTCCGATGAGTTATTACCGATATCAGCAAGCGTTGCTTCATGCCACTCCTCCATAAATCTGTTATTCCCATGACCGGTAATGTTTTGCGCAGTCTCTCCACATATTTCACACGTCCTGTATGAATAAAATGAGAAAGGAGTCGGCATAAACTCTAACAAAAAAGTTTAAAAGCAGCCATAGCATTGCTTAGTTATTGGAAATGAAGAATCCCTCTTTCTCTTCTGCTACCTCGCCGGTTGCCTTGTTGCTATTTTATAGTGTGTTCACTATGACATTGATCCGGGATTCGAAACAGAAAAAGAACCAAATTATGAATGAAAAACTAGACTACAGTTATAAATAGAACAAAGACCTTATCACCTGTGCAATCTATTTTACAAAACTAAATCTGATAAGTTTTCACTAACAATTCTTGGAGATTCAGTAACTCAGTTGGTTTCCACATTCCGAAAGGGAAAAGACCATCGAATTTCCAGTAAGCAACGAAGTTGAACAATTTAGTAACAAGTTGAAGAAAGAAGTCTATTGGGAATCTTCGTCTTAAGTCTAGATTTCAACAGGTATAAATAAGAATTACGATCTAGTTACGCAGCATTATGAACTCAGAAACATCAAACACGAGATACAAGACAAGAAAAACATAGAAACTACAGATAGTATAGCCGAATACAAAATGAAGTTCAAAACGCACAAAGCTTAAAGCATATCGTCGAAATACTTGTATTGTTATGAAGATTTGAAGAAAGAGTTACCTGTTTCCTTTTACCCTAAACCATGCTTCGGCACAATGACCATGAGCAACGCCAAGCTCATCTTTACACCCACAACCGAGTTGAATTAAATCTGCCGTGATCGAACTATTAGCAGTTCCCATTTTTCTCGGCGGTGAGATATCAGAATTTAGATGGCAAATCCTACAAACCCTTTCCCCGTCCCATTTATTACCAAACCCTTTACCACTCCCACACTTCATATCATTCACATATGAATCATTTTCTGCTTGAGGCACCTTCTTCTTCGACTCTTCCATTAATACCTTACTCGATCCCAATTCCTCAACCTTCGGAACCAATCTTCTGTTATCTCCAACTGCACTCCCAGACTCACTTGAATTAATGACAACCACGGTCTCATATACATTCCCATCAACCGAACAGTTCGAATTCTTATTAGCTCCTTGCTCAACTTGACTAGGTACCTCATCACTACCACGCTGGCCGCACGCCTCCTTATCATTCGGCTTCTCAAGCCCTTCTACCACTGCTTTATCAGACCCCAACTCACTCCCCAGTGCTTCCAAATCTTCATTTTTTCCGGTGACACAAACATCCTCTTCGGATTCAATCACAATAACAGTCTCGACAACCGACCATACAACAGAACTTTTCGACTTTTCGCCCCCCTTTTGATCAACTCCACCCAACACCTCCCTCCTATCCTGCAAATCGCATGCCCCGGCATCCATTTCTAAACATAAACTCTCTCTCTAACCTCCAAAAGACACCAACTTTCTCACACACCCAGCAATAAAATACACACCCAATTCTAAAACTTCACAGAAAACCACTAACTCCAATAGTTCACACACAAATCCAATTACACAACCAACAGGCACATAACATTCTTATCTCTCTAAACCATAAGCAATG